CCCGTGTTGAGATTGCGCTGGAACCCCCATTCCCTATACTACTTACTTTCTCTATACCATTTTTCTTGACTGTAACCCAGTGCACTGCATCAACACTGTGATTCAATTTGTATGCGGTGACCCAATAATCATCAAATTCACCCTGAGTAACAACAGCCGTGACTTTTTTCACTGTCCTTAAATCTATTTGCAGCCATTGTTTCTTGTTCTGTACGTTTGCTAGCCATCCACAGCCCTCTGTATTTATGCGACCTTTGTAAGGAGCCAAATCATCACTATGTGCTGATGACGCTGTCATCTCATCATTATTGACTCTTCCATCTTGTACGCCAAGGGGCATTGAACACTTTCCTTCTTAATTACACAATCAAATAGAAATAGTAAGTATTATATGCCTGTGTCTGTGTCTGTGCCTGTGCCGTCCAGGGCCCATTTCTTGAAAAATTAAAATAGCGCTAAACATTATTTCGTACTCTTACACAAAAGTGGAGGAGGGGGGGGGGGGGGGGTTCGTTCGAACCTTCAAACCACCCCTAGCGACGGGCCTTTCGTCCCATATTTTTTCTGTTTTTGTTTTTGTTTTTTTGTTTTGTTTTTTGTTGTTGTTGTTTTTGTTTTTGTTTTTTTTTTGTTTTGTTTTGTTTTTTTGTTTTTTTGTTTTTTTGTTTTTTTGTTTTTTTGTTAAAATAATTAGGATGATTTACATCCCACCATAACCATAGGAAAAAATGTTAGATACTAGCTTCATTAGGCGAGTTTCACGAGAAGGGAAAAAACCCCAGATATATGTGTATTTTTTACCTTCTTTACATCCATAAAATTCTGCTCGCAGACAATAATGTTCTACGGCGTAGGCTTGTGGCCAGATACGAACGTATCTTGCTATTATATGGTTCTCCAGTGTGTTGGTATGAATATCAAAGTAGTTGTTGTTTGCTGGAAAAGACTGAGAATTAAGGTTAATTTTATATATTAATAAAATGTGCATGACATGTGTATAGAATAGTGTAGCTTACTTCATTCTTTACAACTTCTACGCGTTTTATCCGTAATCTTACATTTAATATCATGTCTGAACGCGAAATCCTCAAAGATACTAATTTAGCTAACTAATGAATTGCAAAGCGTTTTTATACACAATATATACATATTTCAGTTTTCCCAACTATAACTATAATCACCCCTATTCTTTTAATTGCTTTTATTAAAATGACAAACATTTTAACAAGTTTTCAATTTACCTTTTTTTTCATATTTGGAGTATAATAAAACACCCAGTGAATTCCATCTATACTGTGTTCAATTTGGTACGCTGTAACATATGAGGTTCCACCTTGATATCCTTGTGTAGCAACCTTAGTGATAGTCTTCACCTCCCCGAGGTCAATCTGCAAATATTTACCCTTTGAATCAGTACACCATGCATAGCCGAGGTTAAGTCTTCCATATCTTGGATAACTGCTGTGGATGTAGTTCGATGCTTTTATTGCTGTGTCAGGAATTCTTTTGTCTTCCATGCCCAGAGGAACAGAACAACTTTGGACTGTAAACAAGGGAAAAAAATATATTTAATGTTATTTAGATTTTACATGCACTCAAATCAGATTAGATACCGAGCGGTTGTTTATGTCTTCTTATATTCAAAAAYTAATGTCACCATGTCTCGTTAAACAACCATACCGTTACTCAACTTACCGTTCCGACATCCATAGACTTCTACTCTCATAGAGGCATGACCATGAGCAGAAGTTACAACAAATCTGACGTAACGAGCGTATATGATTGGTTTAAGGATATTGGTTGCTATGGCATCCCGATCACTATTACCACTAAAGATCTGCAAATTTAAAAAAAAAAGACAATATATCAAAACTTTTATTTGATGAAAATTCCCTTTTTTGCATTTAATGTATTTCCAGGTTAGCTTTTTCGATTTATTTCTTTATATAGCAGTGTTCAGCGCACTTTAGAGTGCTATAGATATAAAGCGCTTTATAAATAAAAGTTTTTTTTATTATAGACACTGAAGTATAACCTCTCGATCGCTATTTGCATCTCTGCATTCTGCCCATTGAATACCATCAATACTGTACATCAAGCGATACATCTGAATCCATTGGTCAGCGTCCTGCCTTCCTTGTGTGGCAACCTTTGTTACCATGGAGACGTCTCCCAAGTCAACCTGTAACCACCCACTGTTGCTGCTCTTTGATGACCACGCCCCATAACCTTTTTCGCCTTTTTTAGTGCCTAGTCTGCCTCGATGTGCAGAACTTTTTAAGCTGAAGTTCGACGATGCTGTGATCTGATAATCAGTGATACGCCCGTCTTCCATACCAAGAGGAAGTTGACACCGCTGAGCTACGATAAAAATAGCAACAGAATTGTCTTCCAAATACAGGAAAAATTAACAAAAGGATTTCATTATTTTAGGTACCTTTAAAACGTTCTTCGCCTATATCCTATAGAAGAGAAGAAATAGAATAATTGAAAGTATCTTCACGCAAAATCATAAAAAAATATTGAGATAAAGAAATGTTATTAATATATTGGACGCCGAACTGGAGCCCAAGGTCTGTAATTCGATCTCTGAGTGAGTTCACAAGCCATATTTCGATTTCTCTAGATCTATACGTGTAGTCTTAAGTTCGTAGACCTTTAAAACATCCTTAAAAAGTAGCACAGCATGCATGTCGATAGGTTCAATTTCTAGCTTAGTCCTAAATAGAGGCTAGGTATCAATGATAAATATAGACCTTTACCTTTGCCTTTTTGGCGTGGCTTTAGCCTAAATTTTAAATTCGTTTGGAGTTTGTTATTCGAATCAGATAAAGTTATAGAAACCCCCGGTTCATCACGAGAACAAAAAGGCAGTTGCAAAGGAATATATATAACGCGATTTAAGGAGACCGAATGTTCACTTTACCCCCTTCGGATCCCCTCTTTTGCTCCATCTTCAATGTATTTCAATTCAGTGCAATGCGCATACCATACATACATACATACATACTTTATTAGTAACTCCCAATATGGGCTTGTCAGTTACAATAAATAATAAAAGGAAAGAGAAGAAGAAGAAGAAGAAAAAAAAAAGGAAAAAAAAGTGACGTTCTGAAACCTAGTTTTCGATAGCGACGCAAAACTGACATAATCAAACCTTTTCGTTGTACTTGCGCTAGAGTCAGGTAGTGATGTACTGATAAGTAAACACCATTTACGTGTTTTGAAAATATTTAAAAAGTGACTCAGTACGGGAAAATATCTATTTATACGGATAAGAGATAATTGCGCGTTCACAATTGTCCTGATGATATTACAAAATGTATAATTGTTAACAAAAAGGCTTACCTCAACTGCTGCCTTGACTCTTACAATACGCAAACTAAGAATGAGTAGAACACTGACAACAATCATACACACAAGAGATGAAGCCTTCATTTTAGTTCAAGCTCCTTGGATTCCGTGCTGAACTGAGTAAAGAATCTTTGTGATGAGACAGATATGTATTTTGATTGGTTGTACACCAAATCAGACAAATAGGCAGCGGGAGTTCGGTCATATGAGACTAACTTAGTTGATCAAGAAGGTTCCACAGCGGCAGATTGTTTCGGCTATAAAAAGCCCTGTAAACTTGGGAGTGGCTTATATATTCCCTAAAGCAATATAGTGCAGATAAGATAACCTTGATAATTCGAGGGTATATATTGACATGTTTCATTACTAGCTTCCGTATGGATGTACATGGTTTGAATGCATGAGGTCAGCCGATAAAGGTCGTTTAAAAACATGCCTTAAATGTGTTATCAGCTATCGTGACTATCTCAGCTACCGTTCTTTTCATACTATCTATCGTGTTAAAAACGCTGAGAAATATTCTTTTCCGCGTTTYATGGCAATGACTCGCACGCAAATCGCCCAATTTTCTTTACTTCATGTCCTATTCAATTAATGTCCGTGCATGCGCAGTGAATACTTTGACTACAGACTGGAACGAATCGAATCGTCTTTTTTATTTCTTTCAATTATAGCTGTGCGTTAACTTTAACCCCTTTATATGTCCCAGATACATGAATGTTACTTAACAAGACATGGCGTAAAAATTAGAACATTTTATCATAATTCTCGTGCACATGGTAGCTTGTCTCCATGAATAATACCCTTTAAATTTATCTTAGCTTTAGATTAAACAGCATGGCTTAGCAAAGCAAATGAAATCACCAACAGATACACGTTTATCGGGAAAAAATTGGAATTTGAAAAAGTTTGGGTTCTGTGTTATATTGATATTTGACTTTGATTGATCATGATGGATTGACTGATTAATATATGTGCACGTGCTACAGCTTAATTAATATTCTATGTATCTATTGATAATTTCAGTTGAAGATTTTGGCAATTTCGTTGTCCTTTTTTGAGTCCTTCCCGCAGTTGCTCATCTCATTGTTTTATTCGCCGATTCCCTTTAAAAACAAAACAGTATAGAATAAAGGCGCGATTACACGAAGCAATTTTCTATGCAACTTGTCTCGCAACAGCGTTGCGACACAAGTTGCAAGAGTGTTTACACGGTGCAACGGAAATGCAATCGTTGCAAAAAGTAGAAACGAATTCTACTTTTCGCAATGATTGCTGCAACTTGTCTCCCAGCATTTTTCAAAATGCGCTGTAGGTTACACGCTGCAATGCTCCATGCAACTTGTGTCGCAACGCCGTTGCAATACAAGTTGCATAGAGAAAATTGCTCCGTGTAATCGTGTTTTAAAATGACAATGGTATAGAGCATGCGCAAAGTGTTTACCACGTGACTATATAAACATTTATAATGAACATTTTCGCTGAAATCTTTCAAAAGAAGTTCTCCTAATATTTAAATAAGAGGATTTTTACTCACCTCAACGAGGCATCCGTAGAGCTCAGTCCTCAGGCAAACCTTACCCACCCATGAAGAGGGCTGGATACGAATGAAGCGGGCGTGAATGGCGGGTTTGATCTCTTGATAAACCACAGACTCTGCATTATAATTACCAAGGAATGTCTGCAACGAGAGAATGAGAGAATTTAAAAACACAAGTCCTTTTTTTGTTAAGACGCGCATTTTCTTGTGGAATCGATAATTTTCGTAGTGTAGATTTTTACAGAGCTTATTTTTGTTTTCAAGAAACCGAAGATTTTTCGTAGTTACCTTTATTATTCCATACTGTTTGTACTGAACCCAGTGATCCTCAGTAACCCCGTACGCCAGGGTGTAACTTTTTACTTGCCCTAAGGACACACCTTGTAAGGCAATCTTTGTCACCGTCTTGGTAATACGTAGATCAATCTGCAGCCAGTGGTTTGAATTGTTGCTCGAAGCACACCATGCGTACTGGTCTTGGGAGTTCAAGCGACTGAACCTGGGGTCATGGTTAACGTTCAAGTTTGAGGAGGACTTCAAATCACTGTGACGAATGCGCCCATCTTCCATACCGAGTGGGGACTTACAATTATGAGCTATGCGATGAAAAAGAAAACAGATTAAGTTACGGTGAAGTCATTGAAATTATCATTCAAACCAAATAAATACTAAATTTAGGTTGGGTAAACCCAATGCAAATAATTGGAAATAATTTTTGAACATGCGCAATGCAGTAAACTCGGCTCTGAATAAAAATAGGTTCACACGGTCCATGAAAAAAATGCTTATTCAAACGAATTTGAAATGACGAATTTTATTTTAAATTGCGACAAATTTTACTGTAAAGGCCGACAGAACACAGCCCTTAATCTGTACAATTGAATTAAGCATCCAGTGTCTGCACCGAACAGAATGCTAACTATGTGGAAACAGTGGAATCAAGCTGCCTCCTTGAATACGCTTTCTTTGGATCTAATTTATATTTTTATTATTTTAGAGATTATTTTTTATTTTTAGTTTTTTTAACATTTAGTTTCTTTATGTTATTTTTAGAAGGACCCCCATTGATAACAGCATTATTGTTGAAGGGTCTTTATCCTGCATAAATATTCGTAGTATTATTATTATTATTATTTATTTATTTATTTATTTTTATTTTTTTTTAGGGTTAGGGCGAGTTATGATCTATCTTTCACTCACCAGCATGGCATCCATACATCTCAACTCTCATGGCCGCATRATTATGCCAAGTCATTGGTACGAACCGTACATAGCGAGCCTCGATTGAATTATGAAGCTTGTGGATAACGACAGAGTTCCTGTCTGCATTCCCAGAAAACACCTAATTTTAAAGCAAAATTCAAAAAAGCCAGGCATCAACTGGAGGAGATTGATGGGAYATCTTTTCGCCTCCAATCTTCCTCGTCCCCAACGAGGAACGCCTTGAAATGGAGGCTATTAATAAGCTGGGAAGTATAGACTTTAATTTTATATATACCTTGATGGTCTTTCCATCGTGATGTCTATGATGGTTCCAGTGTTTACCGTCGARACTGTAGAGCAAACTGTAGCTTGTAATCCACTGGTCAGCGTCCTAACAACGACATGAAAACAGAGCAAGTGTAGAAAAATTAGTTAAATAGTGCGCTGAAAGCAATGCCAGCCAGGGCCCTTATACTTCAAGATAGGTTTACTACATGTGGTTTTGGTATGAGTTAGTCTGGTAGATCTAAACACCTTTATTATTTATTGTATCAATCCTTTCTATCTAACCTGGTTTCCCTGTGTTGCGATCTTTTTGATCATTGTCAAGTAAGGAAGATGTATCTGCAGCCATTGCCCATTGTTATAACTATTATTATTGTTGTTTCCACTTGCTGGACACCAGGCTCGCTCGGAATTTAATCTGGCGTGATTTGTCGAGCATTTGGCGTTTTTAACAGACGATGCAGTAATAGCACCTGAATCGACTCGACCGTCCTCCATTCCTACTGGGATACTGCAACGTTGTCCTATGAGGGTTAAAAAATAGTAAAGATATATAGTAGTTCTACTGAAGGTGCAGTTTGTGCCTTTCTATGATAATACTTTAGTCATTTACGACAAAGAAATAATGAATCTTTTTCTTAAACATGTTGGTTATACCTTCTTGACATCCATAAATCTCTACTCTCATCGAGATTGCGCTTGACCAGCTCATGGGACGAAAACGAACATAACGGGCATAAATAGAAGGATATAGGTGTTTTGTAATCACTGTAAATGCGTCGGCATTGCCTGGAAACACCTGATAAAAGATAGTATTCTCAGAATTAGTTCTTTTAACAATATCCACTATCACAAATCACTGTTTTATTATGTTAGCATAATGATGATCCCCTCTCCTTCCCGGGCTACCAGAATGCTTTCTTCGCATACTTGATTAGAACTAAGTTCCCAAAAGAGAATAAAAGCCGCGGGATAGAAAAATTGCAAAAAATATATATGCTTGTCGCCAGCATTCCTATTACCTCGGCTCTCAACCCTTGTTTTACCTTTTCTATACCATTTTCCTTGATTGTAATCCAGTGCAGTGCATCAACACTGTAAGTCAGTTTGTACGTGGTAACCCAATAACTGCCTCCATAATACCCTTGAGTAGCTACTGCAGTGACTTTCTTTATGGATCTTAGGTTGACCTGAAGCCACTGGTTCTTATTATACGATCCTGCTATCCATCCATAGTAAACGTTGAGGCGGGCACGGTAAGAAGGATAGCTGCCATGTTGCGATGATGCTGTTATTTCGTCGTCTCTTATTCTGAAGTCTTCTACCCCAAGTGGATCGAGACATGTTCTTTCTATTTTTGAAATAATCGGAGGAAAATTAGGAATGGGCAGCTATGTATTCTGGCTTCTATTTTTGAAGCTCGTGCAAGTCAAGACAATATAGGTGACAACAAAGAGTGTACTGGGAGCTACGCCCTTAGGCAATCAGGCCTAAATTTATACATTAATTTTCCTCATATTGCTTCTTTATAATATATATCCAATGGCCATAATAATACGGATTGGAATTGAAAAAAAGCTAACAAGTAATTCGCCTCTAGATGTATAAACCTCATGATACTTTCTTGGCACTCTCTTTCTCCCGGCAAAATGTTTTCCAGCTTTCTTAAACGGATAAAGTGTATCGTGAAACTCTGCTTCCATTTTACTGTAATAATGTTTATAGTAGCCAACAAGAAAGTAGGTCACTTCACAAAGTCGACATGAGAAGTGGTTTGGAAATATGTTCCATTTCTCTACTGAAACAAATTAGTATACAGTCAATTCAAAAAACGTTGTCGTCGACCGGCTCAAGCCTACGCGACTGGACCGAAAGGAATATGGGTAAAAATCACTGAAGCGGTTAAATATTCGTTCTGAATTAATTGTTCCCGCTAGAAATAAGATAATAATGGCGAGAAACAATCCATCAAATGCATGTCTTCGGGTTTAGGGAAAGAAAAACAAAGTAGTTATGATTCAGTTCACAATTCCGAAAGTATGAAGGCATTTAAAAAACGTTTCCTTCAACACTTCCCGCTCGCCTACGAAGGTTCGTGCTGTAAACCAGGCATAACTAGTCAGATAAAATTATGTAGTCAACTCGGCTTCAATGATTGCTACCCAGAGTTCCTTTCGGTCCAGTCGCGTAGACTTGAGTGGTCGACGACAACATTTTTTGAATTGACTGTATGTAATAGGACTCCATGCTGTCCAATTAAGAAATAATTGGACGAGGAAAATTCCGAGGACTTTCAATCTGGCAGTCAGAGGAATTTTTCGAGTCTAATTATTTCTTGATTGGGGAGCATAAAATCCCATTACCTATTAATTATATAGCTGCCTAATTAAT